GGTGGGGGGGTGGGGGTTGCTTGGAATAAAAGTGCTTTGAGCTTTACTTGAGGGCGTCCCACCGATGTGTTTGGGGGTGGTGGGCAGGGGGCGGCCCCATTTGTCAGAGGAGGGGGGGGTTTTGGGGAGGGGGGTTGAATTGCTGCGCACTGAGCGCGTTCTGACCCTGGCTGTTCCCAATTCTGCTTTGGGGAACCCAAACGCACCCTGGGACCTTTCACATAATGGGGTCCCCCCCCCCCCGCCCCCCCCACCACCCCCCCCCCACAACCCCCTGCCCCTGGGGCGTTGCTGCCCACACTCAACGTGGGGCCAATAGGGACACCCTAAAGCTCCCCACACCCCCCCCCCCCAACACCCCAAAAAGCAGCAGGAGACCCCGAACCCACAGAGCAGGAAAGCACACAGCAGAACGGAGCGCTTCGGGTTTCATCAGCTTTATACAAACGAACCTTATGTACACTCTGACCCCCCCACCCCCCCGCACCCCCCTCTATATATATATAAGGCAACATAAATAAGGTCCTGGGGGCTGTACAACGCAGAGGGACACATCTTTAAAACGGCACTTTTTCCTAAAAAAATAGCGTCGCTCTCTTAAAAAATAGTAAAGTTTTTTTTTTTTTTTTTTTTTTTTTGGGGGGGGGGGGGGGTTGGGGGGCTTCTTTTTGGTTTGTTTTCGTGTTAAATGCGCGGAGGGTTCGCTTGAAAAACACGCCTTCCTCTTCCCTGTTAGCTTAAAGGACAGCGCTGGAGGCACTCGGAGAAAACAGCCGCTTTGCACCACTTTTCTCTCAAAAAAAAATAACTTAAGCCGTTCCCAAACTCTTTAAATATTAAAATATTTTTTCTCCCCACCCCTTTTTTCCCCTTTTTTTTTTTTAATTTTTTTTTTTTTTTTTTTTTAAGTTATATTTTTAATTGTTAAATAACCGCCTCGTCGTCTGAGCGCCGTCCCCAGGGTTGGGGTCCTGTGAAGCCGCCTTTGGCCCCATGGATCATCCAAAGCCCTATGGAACATTCACAGCCCCACAGAGCTCCCATGGCCCTGTGGAGAACCCACGGCCCCATGGAGCTCCCACAGCTCCACCAACAACTCACAGCCCCACAGAGAACCCACGGCCCCATGGAGAAACCACGGAGAACCCATGGCCCCATAGAATACCCACAGCTACATGGACAACTCACAGCCCCATGGAGAACCCATGGT